GGCTCAGGGACGGCTGCCCAGTAGCACTGTGCTATCTCCTCCTCATCACACTGCTCAGCCACACTCCCAGCCCTTACCACCTTTGGCTTGCCAAAGCTCGGATAGGTCAGCCGGTTAGGAGGGCGCACATCCCTCCTTGGACGGTCAGCCAGACGTGCGGCACCTTGTGGAGCATCTTGCTGCTGCTGCTGCGGCTGCTGCTGCTGCTGCTGCTGCTCCTCCACCTCAGGTTCTCCCCCATCCTCAGTCACCCCAGAAATCTCCTCCTCTGAAACAGTGACCTGCACTTGCCTCGAAGGCCGCTGCACCTCATCAGCCCCAAATAATCAGCGGTGTAGTAGGAAGCTTCTGCTGCTGCTGCTTCCACTCCTTGTAGTACAAGGACTCAAGGAACTTCACATCCCTCGACACAGTCAGCTGCTGGCTGGTCAAGTCCCAAATCAGCCAGCCCTTGTGATCCTTAGCAAGACCCAAGTGCACACCCCATCTCCCAGAAGCTTCCAGTTTTCCCCTCTTCTCCTTAGGCACATGAATCACCACCATGCACCCAAAGGCTCTCAGCATGTTGACTGCTGGTGCACTCCCATACCACTTGGTGTAGGGGACCCACTGCTTGTCCCCCACAGTCGCCAGCACCCTGTTCTTCACAAGGGAGACCTGCCGCAGTGCAGTCACCCAAAACGAATCTGGCAGCCCTGCACGCCCAAGGAGAGTGCGAGCACCTTCTTGCAGGGTCCGGTTGAACCGCTCAGCCACACCGTTATGTTGCGGGTTGTAGGGCACTGTGAGCTGATGCTGGATCCCCTTCCGCTTCAGCTCCTTCTCAAAATCAGCGCCGATGAACTCTCCTCCGTTATCGGTGCGGATCACCTTCACCTTGTGTCCGCTCTCCCTTTATGCTCTCGGCATCCACTCCTTGAGAACACCCGCTGCCACCTCCCCCTTAGTCTTCAGAGGGTAGACCCACACCGCACGCGTGTGGTCGTCCACAATGGTCAAGAAGTAGCGGCTGCCCAAGAGAGAAAGGGCCCTTGTGGGGCCCACCACATCCATGTGCACAAGCGCGAGCGGTGCCTTGGCTGGTCCTGTGCTGCTGATGAAGGGAAACTTCGTGAACTTCGTTTCAAGGCATGTAGGGCAGCTCCCAATCTCCTTCGCTGCCCCCTTCACCTCCAACCCCTTCAAGCTCCCATCCTTCACCAACTTCTGCAGCATAGGAATGTTGATGTGACACAACCTCTCGTGCCACGTCTCCCAATCGGCATCACCATTCCCAGATGAAGCCTTTGCCCATGCAGCGGTTGCATCCACACCAGCAAGCACCTCACCATGTGGCTTCTGTGGCTGCTGCACCTTCTTGACTGCGTCCAGGGCCCCAACAGTTGGTGCAGTCTTCTCTCCCCCTGCAGCTACCTTAGCCGTTGCTGCAGCCGCTGCCGTTGCTGGTGGTTTCCCATTCCAAGGGATGATGGGCAGCTGCCATAGGTCCTTGATGCAGCTGCCCTTCTCCTCCAAGTCCCATAGCAGCAACTTCCCAAGCTTTGCATGGCAGCTGGTTGGGCCGAAAGTCACTTTGGCCTTGCTTTTCTGCAGCCGACGCACAGAGAGGAGGTTAGCGGACAAACCTTCAACCAACAGCACATTCCCCAGCCCCACAAGCCCCCCATTAGCTCCCATTACCTTGGCATTCCCCACACCAATCACAGGGAGCACAGCACCTGAAGCGGCAGCCACAAACTTTATCTTCCCAGGGGGCTTTACCTCGTCAAGCAAATCTGCCCGTGGGGCCATGTGACTTGTGCAACCTGAATCTATCACCCAGTGGGTGAGGGGGTGCATAACAACCTTCCCAACTGAACCCACATCACCCCTACTCCCTTGCACATCCTCAACCATGAGGAACATTCCAGGGTCGGCTTTACCTTGTGCACCTGAACCTTGCACAGCGCCACCTCGTGCACGTTCACCACTTGGCGGCTTCATGCCTGGAGGCGCCCATCCCTCAGGCCGGTTGAAACACTTGAACCACGGGTGTCCAGCCTTCTTGCAGTACCAGCACGCACCCTCCATTCGGGTGCTCCCCCTGCCACCAGAGCTCCCATGCCCCTCGTTGTAGTCACCTCGGCCTCTCCCTCTGCCAAAGCCTCTCCCACGGCCTGGGCCTCTCCCTCCCCCTCTTCCTCTGCTGCCTCCTGCAGCTCCATACCCCTCAGCAGTTTTGTTGGCAGCACCACCTCCAGTGTGGCGCCTGCGGAAGTCCTCCTGCAGGATCTGCTGCCGTAGCCACTCAGGCGTCCACTTGTCCTGCTGAACGTTGAGGGTGGGGATAAGGTTGTCCCACGAGTTGTCGAGCACCGAGATGATCTTGGTGCATTGCTGCATCTGCGACACCTCGCTGCCCGCCGCTGCCATCCTCGCATAGGCGTCCTTGATCTTGTCAAGGACCGGTTTCACATCATCTCCCGGTTTCATGGAGAGGGCAGCCAACTCCTTCTCCAACACAATCACCATCGGCAACGTGTTGGGCTGAATCACGTCGCATAGCAGCTTCCATGCCTTCGGTCCGGAATCATCCAACTCCACCAAATCCTTGATGTGCTGGAACATGTCGTTGTTGACCAATTGGAGGATGAGGTCGTACAGCACCGCGCTCTTCTCAATCCACCGATCGCGGGCATCTCCTTCCCCCGGCATCTTCTCCTCTCCCATTGCAATTTTCTGCAGCTTGTAGCGCTTGAAGGCGCTCCGCATCCGCCCGCTCCATTCCTCATAGTTGGAGCCATCCAAAGCTTCGATCTTGGATGGTGGCGGTTCACTCATCTTCTCACCTGCATCTCAACTCCCTTGATTCATCTCCTCTGCTCCCAATCAGAGGTTTCAGCTCCCCCCTTTGTTGGTCACAATGTAGATCCACACAATCTTCACAAGTGTCGGCGCCAATGAAATTTCGGCAGAGTTTCCCCTTAGCGGAAGTCACATCCAACCTCCAGAACTCCACTTAGGCACGCCCACAGGCCATGGTGGATCTAGGAGGGTCTTCACACTTCAGTAGACTCTCCACAAAGTCCTTAATCAGCTCTGATACCACTTGTTATAGACTAAGGACGGAGTTTATGAAGATTAGGTGTCTAGATTTCTCAAAATCGTTGGTCTCTATTTCTGGACAGAATAGTCGCGCTCACAAGAAACGCCGTCGACGAAAACTTCACTGTCAAAACTTCACCAAACTCAGATATGATGTAGCCCTAGTCCGTGGCTACAATTCCCAATTTTAATCGTATCAAGAGGTGAAGTAAATCTCGACTTATCCATTTCGGCGCACAGGGGGGTATGCTGCCATAAGAACTTAACTCAATCACAAGAGTCTCACAAGTTCACAACAAATTACACAAGAGAGTTAGAGTAGCACTAAACCAGGTGGAAGGGATGAGGAGGACGAGAGGGAAGGTCCCAAGAGAGTCCCCAACCAAGGAAACCCCATGCCACACAATTCCCTTCCCCATAGGCAACCCAACTTTGACCTTTGTCACTATCCCAACCTCCACAATCCACCTCAACCCAACTTGGCCACACTTGCCAGCCTGGTTTGGTTTCTCCCAACCATTTGGTAGCAACTACAGTAGAAAAGACGAAGTTTCCAACCCCCAAAAGTCTGTACCCCATATTGAGTCAACCCCACAACTTCCCACAGTTGCCACAATCAAATCTGAAAAGCATACGAACTCCAACGTTCGTAACTTTCTTGTTCGTGCTCCGATTGAAGCGATACTTGGTTCGTCGGAAAGCTCTTGAGCAGAGGAGCCACTTCAGATATCTGCTCAAGCCAAATAACATTCACACACACTCAGAAAAACCAAACCGCACAAAACACAAATTCTTGCACACGCTCACACCACGCATGCAACGCACGAACATGTGATGGGAGGCAGACAGACGTGAATGCAAGTGATAGCATCACATAATATGGCGGCGGGTGGTCGGGAGCGCAATGGGAGGAAGGGAGGGCGACGAGACGAAGGGAGGGTGACGGGCGGAAGGGATGGCGACGGCGGAAGGGAGGGCGACGGGCGGAAGGTATGGCGACGGCGGAAGGGAGGGCGACCAGCGGAAGGCATGGCGACGGGCGACGGGCGGAAGGTGTTATAGTCACAATAGGCTTGAATGTGCCTAAAACGAAAGATAGAGAGCACAGACGGATTTCTGCACAGCGGCTTCAAACGTTGATAGCGTTCTGCTCAGAGCTGAAAATGACTTGATTCAAATTGGATCTGGAGCGTCTTCACGTCATCTACAATTAGCAATTTAGATTGCACGATTTGATAAAGAATTGACGACACAGCGTCGGTTTGAACGAACGGTACTATGGCAGCCACTATAGTCTTAGACCACAAGATAGGAAGAGTTACGAGTTGGGAATGACTCCCAGCTCCTACAAACCCCAAGAGCCGAGGTACAGTGATGTGGAACAGTGCCACACTGTCCCCAACCACGAAGGGTCTCGAAACTACCCTTCACTAGGGCCTACACCAAGTGAAAAGTTACACTACACAAAGTAATGTAACTATCTTCAATATCTTGAGGTGTACCCTTTTTTGGCGAGCTTCGAAATCACTTGAGGCTTGACACCAAGGCTCGGGCTCTTCATCACAAACTCATCCTTGAGTTCTTGATGGGTCTGCTGCACACACCTGCGACACGCCGAACGTTCGACACAGGACAAAATAGAAACCGCGCACGACAAAATAGAAACCGCGCGCGAGACACAAACGACCGCGTAACACGCGTCTAGCGATAACTCGCTATTGACTCGACACACACACTCGACATCATGACTCAACATTCACACACAATTATAAGCATGAAATATATATTATCCCATGCCCTCATACCATTCCATACACACACACATTCACGCACACGGACAACAAGCCGAGTGCAAACCGTAGGGTTGCACCAACAAACTCCCCCTCGGATTGTTGGCCTTAGGATATGTTGCTCTCTCAGTTCAGAGCCATCCCAGCCAGCTTGCAACACTTCCAATGCTGCTGCTCCACCAGCCTCTTGGTCATCATGTCAGCCAGCTGCCCCGTGGTCTTCACGTAGCGCAACTCAACTTCACCCGCGGTTACCATGCTCCTCGTCCAATGCCACTTCACCCTCATGTGCTTCGTGAGTCCATGCAACACAGGGTTCTTAGCAAGAGCAATGGCACCCTGGCTGTCACAGTACAGTGGGGTAGGTCCTTGCTGCTCCTCCCCCAATTCAGCCAACAAACGCCGCTGCCACACAATCTCCCGTACGGCACGGAAGAGTGCCATGTACTCGGACTCCACCGAGCTCAAAGCTTGGTCAACCTGCTTCTTGCTCTCCCAAGCAGTTGGGCCTCCACCAACACAGCATATGAAGCCTCCCACACTTGTCATGTCCTCTGGTTCTGATGCATATGAAGCATCCGAGTAGGCGGTGAGGAACAAACGCCCGGGTTCAACACCATCCGCGCCCTTTTGGCGCCTTTGTGCCGCCGCCGAGTATTGCAGCCCAACGGTCGGTGTTTGGCCAAGATACTTGGCCACCCTCATTCCAGCTGCTACCTGCTCCTCATTAGGGCATTGCACAACCCTAGCCAGCTGCCCGGTAGCAAACGCGACGTCCGGTCGGGTGTTTACCGCCGCATACATGAGGCTGCCCACCAACGAGTGAAATCGGCGCCTCTCCTCTTCACCAACGCTCTCCTCCTCTGGTCCCTTCACACACTTGAACCCAGAGGGAAAGGGTGTAGCCACATGGCCTTCACTCTGCCCAAAGTTGGCAGCCAATGCCTCCAGGTACTTTCGTTGATGCACCCGCATGCACCGCTTCTCCACATCTCGTTCGATGTGGAGCCCAAGGTAGAAGCTCACGTCACCAAGGGCCTTGCACTTGAACTTGTCTTGAAGCTTCAGCATCACCTCCTTCACAAGGTCAGAAGAGGGTGAGAAAATGAGGATGTCATCCACATAAACCACCATGAAACTCCTCTGCTCCCCCTCGCCAAGCATGAACAAGGAGTGATCGGCCGTTGAGGGAGTGAAGCCGATCCCCTCCAACACTTCGCGCAGCTTCATGTACCATTGCCTAGGGGCCTGCTTCAGCCCATAGAGGGCCTTCTTCAGCTTCCACACTCTGCCACTACCATCATCAAACCCCTCTGGCTGCGCCATAAAAATCTCCTCCTCAAGGATGCCGTTAAGGAATGCCGTTACGATGTCCATTTGCTTTACTACCCATCCTTTGATGGCGGCTCCCGCGAATAGGGTTCGCAGCGTCGTCGGCTTCACCACAGGGGCAAACAGCTCCTTGAAGTCCACCTTCTCCTTCTGCTGGTACCCCTTGGCTACAAGCCTAGACTTGTAGCGCTCGATCTTGCCGTCGGCATCCGACTTGATTTTGAAGAGCCACTTGGACGTTATCGCCGTACGCCCCTCCGGTAGCTCCACCAATTCAAACGTGTCATTCTCCTCGATGCTCTTCAGCTCACTCTCCATGGCCTTCTTCCACTCCTCAGCATCACTACTCTCCAAAGACTCCTTGAGAGTTGCTGGTTCTCCCGGCATCTCCACCGGAGAGAAGAACGCGAAGGCACACTCCTCGTAGTCACTCTCCTCGTCGTCTCCGACCATCATTGCCGCTCCGGCCAGGGCTGTCTTGCCCTGCTTTCCCGGCGCATCATAGGTCAGCCTATTAGGGGGTTGAACTCTCCTCTTCCCCCTTCCTTCCTCCTCAGCTGCAGGGACTTGAAGGCCTTGGCGTTGCTGCGGTGTGGCTCGAATCCGTGGAGCACTCGTAGTACGGGAAGGGAGTGACGGTGCACGCTCGCTCACTTGCTGCACCTCCTCCTCTTCTTCCTCTGCATCATTGGCCTCCTCTCCCCCATTCACAAGGGAGGATTGCCTTGTGGTTGTGCTGCCGCTGCTCAGCTCCAAAGGCAGCTCCACATGCTCCAAACCGGAACTCTTCACCTCCCCAAACCGCACGCCTATCTTCGCCTCATTCTCCGCCTTCCAATCCTTGTACATGAAGTTCTCCATGAACTTGCAGTCCCTGCTCACCAAGAACTTCTTGGTGAATGGGTCCCAAAGAAGCCATCCCTTGCTGTTTTGAGCCATGCCCAAGTGCACGGCCCACACCGCCTTGGCACCAAGCTTGTTGTGCCGAAGATGCTTAGGCACGAGCGCCATGCACATGCACCCGAACACCCGAAGCATATCCACCTTTGGCTTCCTTCCTAGCCACTCCACATAGGGCACCCATTTGTCTGCTCCCACATGAGTCAAGGCTCTGTTCTTGGCCACACACGCGCTCCGCACCGCATCAGGCCAGAAATAGTCGGGTAGCCCGGCTTCAATGAGCAACCCGCGTGCCGCCTCCGTGATTGTGCGGTTCGCTTGCTCGGCGATGCCGTTCATTGCAGGGGAGTATGGCATGGTGAGGGAGTGCCGAATACCATTCTTCAGCCACAACCCAAACTCCTTGCTCAGGAACTCTCCCCCTCGATCGGTGCGGATTGACTTGACTAGACGGTCTTGTTGCCGCTCCACCATCGGGAACCAATCCGTCTTCAACGTTTCAGCCACGTCGCTCTTCTTGGCCAGCACGTACACCCAAGTCATGCGGGTGTAGACGTCGACAATGGTGAGAAAATACTCAGCTCCAGCAGCTCCAAGCTTCAGGGGGCCCACCACGTCCATCACCACCTCATCAAGCGGTGCCTTTGCCGTTGCCTCCGAACTAGGGAACGGAAACCGGGTGAACTTGGCTTGAATGCACGTCGGGCAGCCAAGCACCTCATCGGGCTCCCCCTTCACACGTATGCCAGCAACCATCTCATTCTTCACTAGCTGCTGCAAGATGGGCAGGGCCACATGCCCCATGCGCCGATGCAAGGTGAGCCAATCACACTCCCCCGTAGCCGAAGTTGGATTAGAGAATGCCGCGCTCGCAATAGCGCCCCACATACTCTCTCCGTAGTCCTCCTCCGCTGCTGCCTCTGGGTTCTCCTCACCCTTTTGCTGCTCCTTGGTTGCTGCACCACTCTCCTTAGGTTCACTGAACTTGCTGGTCCCTCCAGGTTTGCTCTTCTTGAGCTCATTCTCCTTAGCGCGACCGTTCGCGCCATCGTCGCTACCGACCGCTCCATCCTTGGTGCTGATGCTTGCTGCCACTTGCCTCTCCTTAGGCATAGGGACCACTGGGATCTGCCACATCTCGTTGTAGACATCCCTGTCCTCATGAAGGTCCCAAAGAATTCGATCGCCAAGCCTTGCGGTGTAGGTCTTGGCTCCCTTCGAGTTCGTGTCCATGCCGGCCTTTGCCAACCGCCGCACGGAAATCAGGTTTGCAGCAAGGCTGGGCACCCAAAGCACGTTCTTGAGGCCCACCATCTTCCCATCAGCACCCTTGAAGATGGCCTTGCCCATGCCTTTCACCTCTGCTCGCTGCCCCAAAGCCGATGTGACATGCTTCACCGGTGACGGCTCGAGTTCGGTGAGCAAGTCCGGGCGAGGTGTCATGCTATAGGTAGCGCCACTATCAATCACCCAATAGTCCAGGGGGTGTAGGGTCACCTTCCCCACAGCTGCTGGCTCCTCAAAGCCTTCATCCTTCTCTGGACCAGCCGGTACTTGCGTCGACACGAAGTAGAATAGACCCGGGTATCGATCGTCGCTCGGGTCCTTGTCGTTGTCTCCGCTCTTCATGTTTGCAGCTCCGCCACCGCGACCGCCACGGCCTCCACGGCCTCGTCCTCTCCCTCCTCCTGCTCCTCTACCCTCTTGGCCTTGAGCAGGGGTCCAACCATCAGGGAGTTTGTAGCAGTCGCGCCACATGTGTCCGCTCTTGTGGCAATAGTGACACTCGCCGTCGAATCGGCCGCGACCGCGTCCGTAGCTCTTGTCGTCGCTGCCATAACCGCCACTCCTGCGGCCTCCGCCGAAGTTGCTGCCACCAAACCTTCCTCCCCCTCGTCCTCTGCCTCTTCCTCGACCATATCCACGGCCGATGCTCGCTGCCCCAGCGCCATCCGCACTCGCCAACTCACGGCGGCGGAAATCCTCTTGAAGGATAGCTCGCTTCACGTCTTCAAGCGAGAGGTGGGGCAAGTCGCGATTAAGGTTGATGATGAGCGAGGACCATGACTCTGGGAGTAAGGCCAGCAACTTGGTCTTCTTTTGGAGCTCACTGTAGTTCAAATCAGCTCCCTCAAGCCGCGTCAACAAGTCGAAGAATTTCTGCACCCCTTCTTCAACCGCTTCGTCTTCTTCAATTCGTAGTGCCGCCATTTGCCGTTCCAACACCACCGCTACCGCCGCTGTTGCAGGAGCATGTACACCCTTGAGAGCAGCCCATGCCTTTGGTCCTTTCTCTGGTTCACGCTGGAATGGCTTGATGTGACGGATCTGACTGCTCCCCAACGCTTGCCCAAGTAAGAGATAGCCTTGTGCGCTCTTCCGCACCCACGGGCTCTTCTCCGGGTCGTTCTCGGGGCGCTTCTCCGTTCCTTCCATCACCTCCAGCAGGTCATAGTGGTCAAAGATGTTCTCCATCTTGAAGGACCATTCAGCAAAGTTGTCACCGTTGAACTTGTCAAGCCCAAACACCCTAGGCTCATCCCTAGGTGGGCCAAGACTTGGTTGCATGGGCGCCATGGCTGAATCACGGGGTTGGCCTTGAGCTTGAGCTTCTCCACTGCCACCAGCACCTCTGCCACCCCTTTCCTCAGGTCCAGAAATTGTCGAAACTGGTCCAAGGGGCTCTGATACCACTTGTTATAGTCACAATAGGCTTGAATGTGCCTAAAACGAAAGATAGAGAGCACAGACGGATTTCTGCACAGCGGCTTCAAACGTTGATAGCGTTCTGCTCATAGCTGCAAATGACCTGATTCAAATTGGATCTGGAGCGTCTTCACGTCGTGTACAATTAGCAATTTAGATTGCACGACTTGATAAAGAATTGACGAGACAGCGTCGGTTTGAACGAACGGTACTATGGCAGCCACTATAGTCTTAGAACACAAGATAGGAAGAGTTACGAGTTGGGAATGACTCCCAGCTCCTACAAACCCCAAGAGCCGAGGTACAGTGATGTGGAACAGTGCCACACTGTCCCCAACCACGAAGGGTCTCGAAACTACCCTTCACTAGGGCCTACACCAAGTGAAATGTTACACTACACAAAGTAATGTAACTATCTTCAATATCTTGAGGTGTACCCTTTTGGCAAGCTTCGAAATCACTTGAGGCTTGACACCAAGGCTCGGGCTCTTCATCACAAACTCATCCTTGAGTTCTTGATGGGTCTGCTGCACACACCTGCGACACGCCGAACGTTCGACACAGGACAAAATAGAAACCGCGCACGACAAAATAGAAACCGCGCGCGAGACACAAACGACCGCGTAACTCGCGTCTAGCGATAACTCGCTATTGACTCGACACACACACTCGACATCATGACTCAACATTCACACACAATTATAAGCATGAAATATATATTATCCCATGCCCTCATACCATTCCATACACACACACATTCACGCACACGGACAACAAGCCGAGTGCAAACCGTAGGGTTGCACCAACAGAAGGGACGGCGACGCGGAAGGGAGGGCGACGGGCGGAAGGCATGGCGACAAGCGACGGGCAGAATGGATGGCGACGGCGGAAGGGAGGGCGACGGGCGGAAGGGAAGGTGACGGGCGGAAGGGAGGGCGACGGCGGAAGTGAGTTCGACGAGCGCTAGGGAGAGCGACGGGCAGTAGGGCGACGGCGGGAGGGAGTTTGATGGGCGTAAGAGAGTGCGACGGGCGGAAGGGAGTGCAGGCACGCAGAAGGGAGTGCAACGGGCGGAAGCGGGTGCGTCGAACTTACATGTGAGGCAAGCGCCCGATCCGTGCGCTTCGAACGTACATGCCTGCGCCATCGTCCCTATAGAAATGGGCGTGGCGCATGACGTTTTTCTTTATCCTGGCTAGTGTTATTGTGTTGTTGGGAACAACAAACAGGCTGCTGCAAGGATACTGACATCTTGCTGCCATTGTCTACATGCGATCTTACGCGCTCTTGTGGTCCTGAACAGCGGAGCGCACTACGTGTCTTAGACTCAATATGGCTGCACATTAGTACAACTTGGTTTTCAAGTTTACTGAATGTGAACAGTGGTCCAACTCCCGTTGACACTTCACGCTGAATACTTGTTTTGTCGTTGGCCAATCATGCATCAGAGATGTGAAGCCTCTCCTGTGTGAGGCGACGGAAAGCTTTACTTCGGGTGGTAACCTGGTTTTTGGCGAGTTCATATTCAAGAATCTTGAATTTGAAAACAGCCATGTGGAACTCGGGCTTTAAGCGCTACAAGCTGCTGAAACTTGCAATGGGTGAAGAGAAGATGCCGGAGGAAGGCGACGCCCGCGATCGGTGGATTGAGAAGAGTGCGGTGCTGTACGACCTAATCCTTCAATCGGTCAACAACGACATGTTCCAGCACATTAAGGATTTGGTGGAGCTCGATGATTCGGGACCGAAGGCGTGGAAGCTGCTGCGCGACGTGATACAGCCCAACACACTGCCGATGGTGATTGTGTTGGAGAAGGAGCTGGCTGCCCTCCCCATGCGACTGGGTGATGATGTGAAGCCGGTCCTTGACAAGATCAAGGATGCCTATGCGAGGATGGCAGCGGCGGGCAGCAAGGTGTCGTTGATGCAGCAGTGCACCAAGATCATCTCGGTGCTTGACAACACATGGGACAACCTCATCCCCACCCTCAACACTAAGCACGACCAGTGGACACCTGAGTGGCTACGGCAGCAAATTCTGCAGGAGGATTTCCGCAGGCGCCACACGGGAGGCGGTGCTGCCAACAAAACTGCTGAGGGGTATGCAGCTGCAGGAGGCAGCAGAGGAAGAGGGGGTGGGAGAGGCCGAGGCCGTGGGAGAGGCTTTGGCAGAGGGAGAGGCCGAGGTGACTACAATGAGGGGCATGGGAGCTCTTGAAGCAGGGGGAGCACCCGAATGGAGGGTGCGTGCTGGTACTGCAAGAAGGCTGGACACCCATGGTTCAAGTGTTTAAGCCGGCCTGAGGGATGGGCGCCCCCAGGCATGAAGCCGCCAAGTGGTGAACGTGCACGAGGTGGCGCTGTACAAGGTTCAGGTGCACAAGGTAAAGCCAACCCTGGGATGTTCCTCATGGTTGAGGATGTGAAAGGGAGTGAGGATGATGTGGGTTCGGATGGGAAGGTTGTGATGCACCCCCTCACTCACTGGGTGATCGATTCAGGTTGCACAAGTCACATGACCCCACGGGCAGATTTGCTTGACGAGATAAATCCCCCTGGGAAGATCAAATTTGTGGCTGCCGCTTCAGGTGCCTTGCTCCCTGTGATTGGTGTTGGGAATGCCAAGGTGATGG